TTGAACCGCCAGCTATCTGGTTAGCAGGCAAGTGTGTTAGCCACTATGCTACCAGAGCTCCCACCTCTCCCTATAGTGATTAGAAAATGATAATAGAATCAACAACAACAACAAGAAGACAATATAATGTTCCCTTAGTATTTTCTGAGTGAGGGTTAATTGTGGAAAGTGGGATTGTGAATAGAATAATTGTCCCTTGTTTTTTTTTTTTATTTTAATATACCTTGCTAAATTAGTTCCTCTTTCGATCTAGTGATAGATACAGTGACGCCAGTGATGACAGCTTCTCAGAAGCAAGGATAGCTGAATTGGAAATAAACTGAAACAGATACATGACTTGGAGTAATGGGGACTACCTAAGAAGGTAACACAGAATTTTTAAGGTTTTGTTTGTTGTACAGACAAGCTGTTGTCTTGGTGTAGAAGGAAGTGTTACAGGATGTGTCTTGTAGGATCCTGCTCCCTCAGAATGCTCCCATAATTAGGAGGAGAGCCTTGACAGCCGACAGAGCTCAGCACTGAACGCACCATTGGCATTTAGGGAACATAGAATGTACCTGAAGCCAGGAATAAATATCTGAGTAAATCAATAAATACGTACTCAGAGGCCGTGGTGGTTAGGGTTATTACAGTCTAGGTCACAGGTTGGCAAAATTTTTCTGTAAAGGACCAGATAGTAGATATTTTAGGTTTTGTGGGTCAGATGGTCTCTGTGGCAACTACTCAACTCTGCCATAGCAGCCACAGACAAGATTTAGGAGAAAGGATGTGGCTGTGTTCCAATAAAACTTTATTTACAAAAACAGCTTACTGACCCCTGATCTAGGTCACTCTTGGAAAACAAGATTTCCTTGGATTTGTATAAAATAAAACAGCATTTTATTTATTTGTAGGGAGCTTAGAAGAGCATGGCTTGGTTTCCAAGGGTGGCTTATTTTCCTTGCAGCTCTAATTTGCTTTAGCAGAGAGAAGAGCAGGCTGGAGAGCTTTATCAAATTTGTGCTCAGAGGCAAATATCACCTGTGATAACCCTGGGGCTTAGGGCAGCCCTTGAAGGGGATGAGCTGCTCCTTAGTAGGGAGGCAGCTTTTTGAGAATTTGTAGAGAATGTGGGATCTCTTCAGACTTCACTCGGGGGCAGAGTATTCACAGTCACCAGGGAGGACGCAAACCTGTGGCTATATACATTTGTATTAAACATGGAGAGCCTTAGTGACAAACCAGAATGGTGCAAAAGTCAGCTGGAGACATGTTAAAGACTTGAGTGATTCCTTTTTAAAGGTTGCTAATACTTAACATTCTTTTCTTTCATTTTTTTTTAAGTTTCTGAAGTAATTGAAGTCAAGATAAAAGAACTTTCTGAAGAAATCACCACACTCTTGTAAAGTCCCTCTGTTCGTCATCAAACATGCAATGTAAGGTCTCAATTGAATAATACCTCCTTCCATGTAAGAGAACCAAAGAGTTCGTTTTCTCTTCCCTCCCATGGTGATCTTGATTATCACAAATTCCACTAGTTGATTAAACTTTTCCCAGCATCCTAATGAAGGAGAAAATGTGTTCGTGTTTTATCATGATATCAAGATGGTGAGCAAGGGTCCTGGTAACTGACCCTGCGCCGTGTTGAATGAGAGGGTAGGTGGTGCGTAAGGCCCCTTGATAGCTGAACCTGCATGATGTTTTGTGGGAAATGTGGTAGGAAAAGCTATGTAATGAACTTTGAGTCCAAAATTAGTCATCCTGTTGCCTGGTACTCAATTGTAGACTGGTGTGCAACCCAAGCTAATTTCAATTTCTCATCTTGCTTCCATCCCCAACCCCCATCTCCAGCTAGAACAGGTCGCAGACAGTCGCAAGTAAGGCACTCACCTCAGGCACAAAAATTATGGGGCGCCAGAAAACTCAGGAATCAAGATAAATTATATATATGTATATTTCTTTTAAAAATCTTTATTGGAGAATAATTCACTTAAGGTACAATATACCAATTTTTAGAGAACATTATGATGATTTCTCCACTCCCCTTCCCCTCACTCCCCTGGCAATCACCAATCTCCTTTTGTCTTGATGGATTTATTACTTATTCCAGATATTTCCTATAAGTGGAATCATACAATATTTGACCTTTTCTGACTGATTTATTTCACTCAACATAGTGTTTTCAAGGTTAATTCATGTATGAGAACTTCATTTCTCCTTATGGCTAAGTAGTATTCCATTGTGTGCATATGCCACACTTTGGTGATCCATTCATCTGGTTATGGACACTTAGGCTATCTTTACCTTTGGCTAGGAGCTCTGGTAGCATAGTGCCTAAGGCACTTGACTGCTAACCAGAAGGCTGGCGGTTCAAACCCACCAGCCACTCCTGGGAAGGAAGGTTGGGCAACCTACTTCCGTAGTGATACCGCCTCAGAAACCCAAGGAGGGGTCGCTGTGAGTTGTGCCCGACTCAACAGCACATAACAACAACAACCTTTTGGCTATTATGAATAATCCTGCAGGGAACTTTGGTGTACAGATGTCTTTCTGAGTCACTACTTTCTATTCTTTTGGGTCTACACCTAGGAAAGGAATTGCTGGGGCATATGGCTGTTCTATGTTTAGCTTTTTGAGGAACTGCCAAACTGTTTTCCACAGCAGCTGCGTCATTTTACATCTCCAGTGTGCAGGTATTCTGATTTCTCCATAGCCTCGTCAACATTTGTTGTTTTCTGCTTTAGAATTAGAGTTACAATATGGCTCAGCAATTCCACTCCTAGGTATATACCCAAAAGAATTGAAAACGAAGATTCACACAAGCACTGTCCTTGTACAGGTAGGTTCGTTGCTATCCACAATAGCCAAAAGGTAGACGAACATAAACGTCCATCAGCAGACTAATGGATACACAAAATGTGAATATATACACACACACACACACACACACATATATATATATATTTCAACAGAGGTGAAGTCTATGTAAGATAAAATTAACCATTTTAAAGTGAACGATTCAATGGCATTTAGTACATTCACAGTGTTGTACTCCCACCATCTCTAACTAATTCCATGTTTTTATCACCCCAAAAGGAGACACCTGTACACTTTAAGGAGTCACTCCCCATCCCCCTTCTTCTCAGCACCTGGCAACTACCTATCTGTTTTCTCTTTCTATGAATTCACCTATTCAGGATATGTCATATAAACAGAGTCATACAGTATTTGGCCACCTGTGTCGGAGTCTTTCACTCAGCATAATGTTTTTGAGGTTCATCCATGCTGTGCTATGTATCAGTACTTCATTCCTTTTTATGGCTAAATAAGATCTATTGTATGGATAGACCACATTTTGTGTATCCATTCATCTGCTGATGGACATTTAGGTTCATTCCACCTTTTGGCTATTGTGGATAGCAACAAATCTACCTGTACAAGGACAGTGTTTATGTGAGTCTCTGTTTTCAATTCTTTTGGGTCTATACCTAGGAGTGGAATTGCTTGGCCATATTGTAATTCTGATTCTAAGGAGCCCTAGTGGCACAGTAGCTCAAACCCACTAGCCACTCCATGAGAGAAAGATGTGGCAGTCTTGGAAAGATTTACAGCCTTGGAAACCCTACGGTGCAGTTCTACTCTGTCCTGTAGGGTCACTATGAGTTAGAATTGACTGGAAGGTGTTAGGTGTTAAATGCTGAGGAGAACAAGACCTGAGTGAATTGTTAGAAAAATAAGTTTTATTGAAACATCGTCTGGCAGATGGACTGAGGCTTAGAGTGGTATCAGCTCCGATCGTGGCTTTGCAGGGTGCTTAAGTGGTGTTTTGATGTAGGAGGTCATTTGCTATTTCAAAAGAACCAATCCAAAGTGTTGAAGGGGAACTAAATGCAAAGGAGGGCGGGGACAAGATAAGCCAGGGCATGGAGACAAAGGATCCAAGTGGAAACTGGGAGAGGGGGTGGGGGCTGCTTCATGGGGAGGAAAAGGGAACAAAGAACTCCACCGGAAGTTGAGAGTTTGGGGAGCAGGGGAAAATGAACAAAGAGCTTCACCGGAAACTGGGGGGTTTGAGGGTGGGGCACCTGAAGAGTGGGAATGAGGGGGTGGAGACTAGGAAGGTACTGGGAGAGAGAGAGACAGAAATTTAGTAGATTCGGTCAGGCTGGGTAGAGGGTGAAGGATTTATCTATCATTCCAACTTTTTTTTTTTTTTTTTGACCTGTGGCTACATTCTGCAGAATAGTTAGAGAAGAAGGGAGTGTGGGAAACTCACTGTACCGGCTGCTCCACTTTGCAGATCAGCTGTAGAAAAACTCCGCAGGGGAAGGGGTTTTGTAGAGAGCCGCGGCTGCGTTCCCATGGGTGTGGTGGTTACGTTTTTGTGTCAGCTTGGCTAGGCCTGGTGGAGTGGCTGGGCAGCTGGATGTAGTCTTCCCCATGATGAGACTGGTAATCAATTCTATGGTGGAATCTACTGTGAGCAGCTGAGTAGCTGCCTTAGGGAATGTGGTCTGCTTCCTGTATATAAGCAGAAGCCTTGGGGAATGGTCTCTAGCTTGTGGCACGCTTGGACCCTGCATGTAGCCATGTCATTATACAGCAGCCTGCCATGCTCTGCCAACCTTG